ATTAGACTGCTTTTTTTTTTTTCCAAAAGCACTTTTACAAAAAAGTTTACCAAACACTCTGCTGATTTATTTCACAGCTGCTTATTCTCACAGTACAGCCGCTTATTCTCACAGCAGCTTTTTTTCAAAGCATAGCAATACCAAACCAGCCCTAAGAGCGGCAACTGTGTGGTTTGGAAGTCTGTTGGGACTTCGGTCTTTTACTAGCAATGAGAACGGATTTGGTGGGTGGTTGGAATATATGGCATAGTAAGTTTCTAAAGAAAGCTTTTAGTTGCTCCTTATTCTAGTTTGGAGTATTTGGAATGTACGTAATGACTTTCTTTGGAATGGTGTTGATGTTTCTTCGTTGGATACCCAAATCAAAGCATAAATGTGGTTGGCTAAATATAGAAAGTGGAATGATGCTATACCCCAACACTTCTCGATACGAATACTTCGTTGGCAGACTCCAGCTTCTGGGTGGATAAAGTGCAATTTTGATGCTGCATGGGATGAAAATGGGTCAATTGGAGGTTTTGGATTGGTAGTTAGAGATGCGGATGAAGGTTTTCTAGCGGTGAAGATAGGCAGGGAAGAAGGAGTGCGATTTACACTCCACGCTGAGGCTGCTGCTGCACAGGCAGCAACTTTGTTCTTGCGCAGGTGGAGCACATAGCAGGTCCAGGTGGAAGGGGATGCGTTGTTGGTGACTTCAATAATCCAGAATGCAAGTGCGTCATATATTGGTCATTAGAGGCATCTGTTTGAAGATACAAGAAAGCTTCTGCAAGAGTTAAGACAATGGAAAATTACGTTTGGCCTACGAGAGACGAATAAGGTGGCTCACCGCCTTGCAAGGTTTAGTCTAACTATTAATCACTCAGTCTCTTGGTTCGAAGAGCCTCCTGATGTAATTTCTGAATAATTATTGAAGGATAGTACTAGTAGTTAATTGATGTGGGACACTCTTTTTCCCTTCGATCAGGTTGAAAGCCCCAACAAGGTTTTTATTGAGATCCACTGTAAGCACCTTATCCTTATTTTGTACGTATTTTAATGTTCAATGAATATCGTACTTTCTTCAAAAAAAACAAAATTATAATTGGGAGGAGTTGTTGAGTGTTGGTGGTGTGTGAAACATGGGATTACTGCTCTTTTTGATGAGGTAGCCACTAGCCAGAAGTACCGTGAGTGTAAGAATATAATATGCCACGTCAGATAGAGATAAAATTGTAAGGGTCAAGGTAACGTACACGGAAAGTCCGCGGACGTCCACTCAGCAGAGTTATCCGCTGCGTCAGATCCAATCCTTGATTATTTTAACTTCTTCATTGCACGACCAATACTAAGGAAATTGATCATCGCCAAATTCTTTTTTAAGGGGTTCGGAAGATTCAGAAATTATGTTCATTTATCGTACGATCAGTTTTCGTTAAGTACTATTTATATTTAATTTTAAATTTTAAATTTTAAATAATTTCTAATAGCACAATATACGATAAATAAACATGATTTCTGGATTCCGAATCACAGGATCCTTTTCCAAATACTAAATATATTCGTAAGAATTTATAATGCCACGTCAGATAGAGATAAAAATTGTAAGATGACGTACAGGGAAAAATCGTGGACGTCCACCCGGAAGAGTTATCCGCTGCGTCATCCAACGCGTGATTAGTTTGACTTCTTCTCATGACCAAAAAAGAAAATGTTGTATAAATATATTTTGTTTTCAAAACCAGACAACCAAGTGGCTGTAGTTTAGTGGTAAGAATTCCACGTTGTGGCCGTGGAGACCTGGGCTCGAATCCCAGCAGCCACACTTCCATTTTGTTATTTTGTTTTGTTATTTGAAGTTAATTTTCTTCATTCATTTGTTTCACTTTTGAGTAAATTACACTAAATCACATTAACTTTGGATTACATCACAATCTCATATCGTATTTTTTAAACATTGTAATGTCATATCTCATACCTCATTTTTTAAACATTACAATATCATATATCAACTTACGAATTCGTTGCAATGTTATATCTCTGTTAAAAAAATTGTTAAATTAACCGTTAAGTAATGATGTGACAACAATAGGTTCCACATATATGCTGACGTGTCACCCAACTTGTGACACATGGCTAAGCAACTACCAAAAAATATTTAATTATTAAAAATCAATTAAAAAAAAGAACTTTAACGAAAAGCTTTCAATCCTGTTCATTTTAACGAAAAATCATATTTTTACACTAAAAAATCAATCATAATATTATTCACTTTATCATTTATTTTTTCCTTATTATTAAATTTCAAAGCTTTCAAGGATTTTCATTAGTTTTCTAAAAATAAACCCTTAGCACAACACCTTCCTTCCCCCTCACCTCTCTACCTGAGTCCCAGCCGCACCCCCACCCATCACCTTATTTCCCCCTCACCTCTCTCTCTCCCTTTCTCTTTCTTAGCCCTACCCATTTATCTCTCTAGCCCTACCCATTTATCTCTCTAGCCATCTGCATATCCATGGAGGTGGGGATTTAGAAAGGATGAGATTTGAATGGCTAGTGGGAAGCGTGGTGGTCCTCGATGGAATCGAGGTTCTTGTAATTTCGTTAATTTGCAAGGAGTTAGGGTTTTTGGAGGATGAGATTTGATTTGATTTTGAGCTTCTACGATGGTAGGGATTAAGGTTATTCGAGAGGGCGGTGTCGACAAGCTCGGGCCGGTCGCCAAGAGGGTGGTGTCGACGAGCTCGTGGTCGGGTCGATTGTCTTGGGTTTTGAGGACAGAACTGGTCTGGGAGACGTCGGAGACGGCGCATTGAATGATGGTGAGGACTTTGGGGTCAAAGAGGTGGGGCATCTAGGATGGGGGCTGGTCGAAGGGATGGGCTTCGATGCGTAGTCGGGAGGGAAAAAGTAAAAAAAGGGAAGAAGGAAAAATAGGGAAAAAAGAAAAAAAAAAGGAAAAAGAGGAAAATAAAGAAAAGAAAAAGAAAAAAAAAATTAGTTCACGTGTCAATCAGTAGGTTTTGCGCTTGTCACGTCAACAATTAACAGAAAAAATTGACAGATAAACTAATGGAGGTCTGACATTGCAACGAATTTGTAAGATGAGATACGAAATTGCAATGTTTAAAAAATAAGGTATGAAATTATGGTGTGATCCAAAATTGAGGTGGTTTAGTGTAATTTACCCTTTATTTTTTATGGGTAAATTACATAGTAACCTCTCAAATTTGAGGTCTATTAAAATCTCATACAACATTTTAAAAACATTTCACTTTCATACCTCAAGTACTATTTTATTTCAATATAATACATCTGTTAGATTTTCCATCCATTAATCCGTTAAATGCTAACGTGGCTGCCACATTTGTGTCACGTGGCTAAAAAAATAATTTTTAATTTTTTTTAAATACCTAAATCTTCTAAATAAATTTATTTTAAAAAAAACCAAAAACCAAAAACCAAACCCCACTTCGTCTTCCCTCCCCCCCCCCCCCAAAAAAAAAAACCTAACCGGCAACCTTGAAGAAGAATAAGAGAAAAAAAAACCCATCTTCATCTTTCCCAACCCCCTTTCCTTGCAACCCACCCCTTTCTTCCCCCCTTTCGTCTTTCCCAAACCCACCGCACCCATCCTCCACGTCCTCCTCCGCACCCACCCTCTTCCCTCTTCTACACACTCCACTCCTTAAATCCATACCCATTGGGGAAGATGAGATTTGGGTTGTAGGGAAAGGGAGATGGGTTTTTTTTTTCTTTTCTTTTCTGGGTTGCTGGTAGTGTGGAGGGGGGGCTTGAGTAAGGTGGGTCGCGGGGTTGGGGGGTGCTACGGTGAGGTTGGTCACAGAGGGGGGTTGGGGAGGGATAATTGCTGGGGGTGGGATGGGGGATATGGGGAAGGGATAATTGTTTTGGGGGGGGGGGTGATGGGATATGGGTTTGGGTTTTTTTTTTAATTAAAAAATTATTATTTTTGCCACGTGGCACACATTTGGCAGCCATGTAGTACAAATGTCGCAGTTACGTCAGCATTTAACGGATTAATGGATAGAAAATTTAACGGATGTATTATATTGAAATAAAATAATACTTGAGGTATGAAAGTGAAATGTTTTAAAGATGTTGTATGAGATTATAATAGACCTCAAACTTGAAGGGTTACTATGTAATTTACCATTTTTTTATTGAGCCAAAACCAATAGAACATTAGAACAAACGAATGAGGATAGGATTCTTACATTCTATCCATTCGTTGTATATCATGCGGTTAATTTTCATTAGGTACTGTTTGTGTTTAATTTTAAATAAAAAAATTCAAAATGATTTTTTGCCGTATGATATATGCAATGTTTTAAAAACTATAGGCACTAGTTGGGTGGCAGACTGGGGTCTATTGCCTAGGCGGCTAGGAGGGGGCCATGAGGACGGATTTAAGTAAAATTTATTATATATTGTATAAATAAGTGTCTTCGTATACTTAAAAAAACATAATTGTATTGAGATATATAAGTTGCAAAATATAATGACATATATATTATAAAGTATTATAACATAATAAAAATATGGGAAATAAACATATAATGTGTGTTAATTGAAGTATTCAACAAGTATTTTACAATTTATTAAATAAATAAAAAGCAAAATGAAAGTGACATATTTTCTATCTAAATGAGAGTTGTGAGTCGTGACCTAGGAGGGTCTGGACGGGCTACGCTAGCACCTAGGCGCTCTAAGCAGGTGCCTAAATAGATCTAGGTGTCATTTCTTTATTTTCAAACGCTTAAGAATTAATCGGGATGGTAACCAGCTGCCTAGCGCCTGAACAAGAAATATTGAATATATGATAAACGAATACAATATGAGAATCTTTACGATCCTCACAAACTGAATCTGAATGGTTCCAAATCCAGAACAGAGTCAACAGACGGCATCATTCCACATGGAGTGGTAGACCAATGACATCGAAGTGTGGCGAGCCCCATAACTCCGTTACATGATTGGCCCAAACTATTCGAACCGAACGTTGACTTGTTTTGTTCTTTCGGGTCGGAGCGAAAAGACGAATAAAAACGCGGTTCTTCTTCTCCACTTCACTCGCGTTTCGTTTCGTTTCGTTTCAGCTACAGTCCAGCGCTCTCTGACATTGAAGATCTGTTCGCTGCTTCTGCCGTTTTCGCGTTCGATCTTCACCACTGAAGGTACTCTCTCTCTAATGTTTCTGATGAGTTTCCACCTTTATGATTTTTCGAACATGTTAATGGGATCTCGATTTCTCGAACATGATTGTCAATGTAAAACCCTAGAAATTTGGTGTTTTTTTTCCAATTTGTTTTTCTGCGTGAGGAAAGCTACATTTGCAAGGTTGACATTGTTTGTTTTGAGCTGAATGATACATGATGATCGCATAGCGGAGTGGATATCGCATTAGACTCCGGATCTAAAGGTCGTGGGTTCGAATCCCACTGCGATCGTTCCCCCTTTATGCATTTCCCAATTTCTGTCTTTTATTTTTAATTTTCCTCTATGAAGGGTTTTGGATTCTGGGTAGAAAAATTGGACAAAGACATTGCTAATTGCTACTGACAAGTGACATAACTCTCTGTGATTCATGTACTTTCGAGGTTCGGAGAATAGCAGTTTCATCTTCAATCGTAAACAAGTACATATAGTTTAAGGAAATGTAAGATAAAATGTTTGATATAAGATTCCGGTTGCCAAATTATTGGAATATGGATAATGTTACATTGAAATATGCTTTAGCTTCATCTACAAGGATGGCGGGAATATTCACCGAGGATGAGAGCAGAATATCTCTTAGATTTGTTGATGCTTGTTAAAAGGGAAAAGATAGCGGAAAAATTCACCGAGGATGGAGTAGAATGTCTCTTAGATTTGATGATGCTTGTTAAAAGGGAATAGATAGCGGGAATATTCATCGAGAGGATGGGAGTAGAATGTCTTTTAGATTTGTTGATGCTTGTTAAAAGGGAAAAGATAGCAGAAATATTCACCGAGGATGGAGTAGAATGTCTCTTAGATTTGATGATGCTTGTTAAAAGGGAATAGATAGCGGGAATATTCATCTGAGAGGATGGGAGTAGAATGTCTTTTAGATTTGTTGATGCTTGTTAAAAGGGAAAAGATAGCAGAAATATTCTCCGATGATGGAGTAGAATGTCTCTTAGATTTGATGATGCTTGTTAAAAGGGAATAGATAGCGGGAATATTCATCTGAGAGGATGGGAGTAGAATGTCTTTTAGATTTGTTGATGCTCTTTAAAAGGGAAAAGATAGCGGAAATATTCACCGAGGATGGGAGTAGAATGTCTCTTTCTTGATACAATAATGATATGTTCGTATTAAATGATTGAAGATGCCTATTTTCACTGGTGAGGTTTTATTAACAGGCAATGTGCAAAACTAGTCGGATAATGTTAGGTGTGACTTAGTATGTATACAATCACTGTGTTTCTGCTCTGTCTTCTCGTGTACTACATCTGCATCACTTTTTTGTTTTGAACAAGACCGTGTAATTGTTGTGTATGCTATATTTCTTTGATTAGTAAATAAGACTACTCAAGATACTGGAAAGCGGATTTTATGTTCCATTTCTTGAACTAGGCATCAAAGGATTTGTGGTCAGAGTCAGTTAAGTAGAATCCACAATACTGGACATGATATGATTGAAGTTATTCTCACAAGACCCGATTGAGGAATATGTTCCCAATGATTAAAGATGCTACTGCTCGTGGTTTGATGTTTGCTGTTAACCAAAGTGCCTTTTGTACCCTATCAAGATTTATGTGGATATGCTATAAATTTGTTTGGAGATTACTTATCTGAAAATCGATATCTGATCAGTGATCGTGCCTAAAAGATGTACACACACACACACACACACACACACACACACACATTCATGACCTTGCGTTTGTATTTCTGGCGAACCAATTCATCCAGTTCTATATTTCCTCAATTGACTACTCTGAATTTTGAACTTGACGATGTTTGAATCGAAGATCCATAGACTATTTGATACGCGTGTGTCTCTGTGTAATATAGATTGTGCTGTGAAGCATGAAAATGCGCGTTGTGCAGATTTAATATGATATTTTGTAGTGTAATACTAATTCATGTCATTCTGTTTGTCTTCCAACAGATGATTGATGATGTAGGGCTGGGGACTGTTGCCAACTTACTTGGCATGTTCATATTTTTTCTAGTGATTGCTTATCATTACGTTACGGCCGACCCAAAATACGAGGGCAACTGAAAAACTGAGTTGTGTATGTGTTCATGGAGAGACCATATGGCACCCCAAGAAACATGGATCATACAACGTAGTGTTTGAATTTTGTTAGTATACCTAAAGACGGGGATATAAACCGGAAGTTTTGTGTACCTGCAACTTTTGGTAGCTCTCAATACAATAATCTTCTCTTCCTTTTTTTATCTCGTTAATAACTTGTGTATTCATGACGTTGAATGTGTTTAACGATGTGAAAAACATAAGGGATACTGTCCCATCCCTAAGAGCAACCCGTGCCAATAACACATCATGTAAGTTTCGCTTTACATGGCGTTTAATTGGCACGAAATGTCACAGTGATAAGAACCTGTATCCTAAAAGTTGGCGGGGGTTCCAAAACACACATAAAAAACAGTTCAAACCTTCATTCAATTATGATTTCATATTGGCTTTCCAAACTAAAGTGACTTTGTTTTTACTACCGAGAAAATATGAAAATGTAAAGTAAACAAACAGTTTGAGACTTGCTCCGAAACAAAAACAAAAAGCAGAAACAATTTTGCAGTTTGAGACATTGCAAACAAAAACAGACCCTCAAAGCCTGAACCCAGTTCCTAGCAACAGCAGTTTCATCGGACGCAAGCAGTCTTTTCGCTAACAGCCCCGTTTCCTCAAACAGAACAAAACACAAGCATCTCTGGTCGCATGTTATCTAGCTAGTTTTATGCGATGGACTCATAACATTTCTTGAGACTTTCTGACACACCGCCCTACTTTCTTCCTGAACTCGTCCCTACTCTCTCTCCATTGTTTCTGGAAACACATACAATTAACAACATATGTCAGCGGATTCGAAAGATACCACAAGGTAAATAAATAAATAAGATAAGCCATTCACGTGAATCACTGGTGAGCCATGAACTGACACCGTTTGTTTCCTCGTTTAATATTCAAAACATCCAAGCCTGAATGGCGAATTGAACCTAGTATTATGATGTCCATAAAAGCTGCTTACACTATGTTTCTGTCCAATGTGTTTTACCGGGAAGAAAATCATGTCTTACTTGTGCGCTTAGATGTTACTTTTAAGAAAACCAAGTGGACTAACAAGTGCTGTACAATGTAAAGCATAGTCCCCAATCATTTTCTTTTGTTTTTTTCAAATTCGGAGCAGTGGCTTTACGGATTATTCCAAGATCCCCAGAAAATATCTTATGAGCAAGTACTACCAGAATCGAAGCATTTATACCATGTCGTTCTATGCGAACATTGAACTCCAACATCCAATCCAAAGTAGTGTCAAAGAAATAATACTCAAAAGAACTGATAATGAAATCAACAAATAAAGGGAAAAAAAAAACCTACCGCAGCATCGACATTTGCAGGAGATTCATCATTAGGGCTTGAAAGCATTGAGATTATACTCAAAAGAATGCTCTCAACCTGCAGAATAACAAAAAATTCGTTAGTAGATCCTCAACAATAGGAACACGGTAACTGCGTTCATATAATAGTATGTGGATCCATAGAAAATTAAACAAAATGCCTGGTACTTTGGGTCTGTGTGTGTAAACCAGAAGGAACCAAAGCAATCAGTGTACATTTGATAATACAGCACATCCAGAACTGTCTCCAGTTAAAGACACCCCTCAGAGTCACATACAAACGTTTTACGAGTTCACCAGAACTTTCAGTATGTACCCTATATATAAGGCACAACTTCACCATTACTTTTCCAACAATAAAAGTAAAACCGGTGGTTTCCTACAACCATTCCGAAGTCAGTGTCACAGATCTTCAACTTGCAACAAGCCCACTTTTCAAACAACTGATTCCATTGCCTTGTAAAAGTTGGAGTTGTTCCCGACACCAGTGCCAACTTTTCCATAAGCACCTAAACCACTACGTAGAAGCCACTTGAAGGTTAAATCACAGGTTCAATGTTGGAAAATTCAACTACCATAGTGATCCAGATTCCCCATTCCCTCCTTGTGATCTCTCATACTCTCTTCACTTGAGCACTCCCGATTGAAACCTACAGAAAGCTCAGATATGTACTATATCATTAACTCTCAAGATTCTGTGACTTTACTGCAAGCTTGTCTCGTTTCATAAAGTTCCTCCTCAAGACAAAGGAAGAGGAAGCAAACTAACATGAGGTTCATGGTACTAGCACATACAAAAATGACTAATGATTAGGGACTTCTCCTATCGAACGATGCACTAGTTTCCAATGCATCATGCAGGTAAAAAATTGTACAGCACAATACAATAATAAACCTGAACCCAACTCAAGCAATCTTTGTCTAAACTAGAGTTGTGCTAGGGTTTAGGAACAAGCACCTCAATACAGGCTTAGGATGAGATCCACAGGGCTATTGTACAATTCAGTCCTGCGATGATCTCATTTCAATCCTTACAGTTGGCCACCACCAAGTTGCACTGCCAATTATAACTACCATCAGATAATCAGTGTATTAATGACACACACAAACTCGACCAGTTAAGTATGTGTAACTCTCCAACTTTTGAATCTTTATCCAGAAACACTTGCAACCTTCTAATATTTCATTGTTATAACTTCAAAAAGAAAGGGGAAACCACACTGCAAAATCCGCTAAAGAATTGATCCACTACTTATAACCACACAATGGTAATACAGTTACAACTTGCAATCCAACACTACACCCCTAGGATTATGGCTACAACTAAAGAAGTGAAACCACAAAAGCTGGAAAGTAACAAGATTTTTATTCCAAATGGTGCACATAAAACATAGATAAATGGAAGAGCCAATATTGACAAATAAGTACATACTGTATGGACTGGATTCCAGCGCTCAGTTGCAAGCTCGTAGCCATTTGGATCGTCACCAGGGGGATGAAGAATTGAAACACAAACCTTTCCATCAGCGTAAACTGCAAAACACATGGAAGCTTGATTACGATGAACTAGAGGCAGAAAAGCAATATGCACAAGTTACTTCAGATTCAGAAACAAATACAGAAGACAGTTGTTACCATTGGGGTGCCACATCTCAGAGGTAAATCTCACTATAGGAGGGTTGCACGGATAATCCTCTGGGAAACTCATGATGGCATTAAAGAAACCGCCCTCACTACAACAAATAAATTATAATGAACTAGGTCAGTTAAAAAATTCGGTTCCCAAACAAAAATCCTATGGGTTTCCTGTCTCCACTATCAAAAGAATGCAATCAATTAGCTTCTAGTAACATCTGACGAACACCAAAAAATCAAAGGAAACTGAATCCAATCGTGTCCAAATCAAATAAACATCCGAAACCCTTTTTCGTCTTCACTATCTAAAGAATGCATTAAATTAGCTTCTAGTAACATCTGCAAAACACCGAAAAATTTACCAACACTTAATCCAATTATGTTCAAGTCAATTTTTTCATGCTTTAGGGAAAACCGAAAACTAATCATCACCGCAAAAGATATGAACTTTGTGACCAATCCCATAAAATATTCCGAATCCAAAGCGAAACACATGAATTCAAACAAACCCTTATGGTCATATCAAAAGAAAATCAACCTGTTAAAAGAACACACACATGCACCAAAACAAGAAGCACAGAAACTAAATTTCGAGCAAAACCATGTTTTAAAGAACGGGAAAGACATCGCATTACATACTAGAGAGTGTCGGGTGGGCCGATAATCGTGACGTTCCATTCGAAGATGTTGTCTTCGTTCACCAAACCGGCCGAGAATCCATCAACTGGGTGTTTGCAGAGATCTGCAGGAAAATTCAGAAGAGCAAAAAAAAAAAAAAAAAAAAAAAAACAGAGTTTAAAAATTTAATCAAGAAAAACAAATCTCCAAAAGGGAGAAGAGATAGATATATGGAATCATGGATTTAGATTAAAGGTGCAACCTTTGAGTTGCTTTTGGAGGAGGAGGCTGGCCTGGGAAGAAGGAGCCGTAGCCATGGAAAACGCAAAGAGAGAGAGAGAGAGAGAAGATTTTGGGTTGGATTTAATTTTTAATAGAGAAAGGAGGAGGGGGGATATGATATATATACAGATTAGAATTAGTGTTAAACTTTGTTTTTGGAATCAAACCGACCAATAAATCTAACTTTTTCTTAAAAAAAAAAAGAAGGAAAACCCAACTTGTAAATCATTAACTTATAATTTACAATTTGTTTAGTGCTTTTTTAACATAAATTTTTTTTCTTTAAGTTCGAATTACTTTTATATTATTTTTAGTTTGTAAATTTAATACTAGAATTGTTACATATAACTGTTGACAGTTTGTGTTACCAAACTTGAGTGCCAAGCAAAGTCCTAAAAAAGAACCCGATATTAAGCAAATTTTAAAAACTAAATCTAGTTTGGATCCTAATGATATTTTTTCCACTAGTGACTAAGGTCAATTTTAAGTGTTATTAAAAAAAAGAGGAGTTCAACAAAATAACCTCGAGAGATAAGTTTAATAGCGTGAACTACAAGAGCTTTGTAAAAGTCTATCTTTTCGTTGCACTTATTGTAAGCGTTACTAAAAAGAGGGTTTCAAAAAAAAGAAATTTAAGGAACAAGTTAATCACATGAGCCACAAGCGTCTTGTAAACCTCTATCTTGTTGCTAGTACATATTTTAAAGCGTTACTGAAAACGAGAAATTTAACAAACAAAAAAATTCGAGAAAAAAGTTTATCACGTGAGTCAAGCGCCTTGTAAACGTCTGTCTTCTAGTACCTGTTTTGAAAGCATTATTGAAACCTCAAGAAACGCGTGAGCCACAAGCTTTTAAAGCATGTCTTTGTGCTAGCACTTGTTTTAAACGTTACTAAAAAAGAGAAAATCAACAAATAAAAGTTTGAGGCACAAGTTAATCACGTGAGCTGCCCAGCGCCTTACAAAAATCTCTGTTTTCACTAACCCCTATTTTAAAGCGTTACTGGGAAAAAAAAGAAGAAATTTAACAAAAAAACTTGATGAGACAAGTTAGTCACCTGATCTGCGAACACCTTATAATCGTTTGTCTTTTCGCTAGCACCTGAAGCGTTACTGAAAATAGGAATTTAACAAAAAAAAAAAAAAAACCTCAAAAAACAAATTAATCATGTAAGACACAGGCGCTTTGCAAAAATCCCTCTTTTTTGGCAAGCACCTAGCATACAAAGACCTAGTTTGGGAGTGAGGTGCTTAAAAAAAAAGCACCTATGAAAAAAAGCTGTGAGGGTTTTAGGTGTTTGGTAAACTGAAAAAAAAGGGCTTATTTTGGAAGCTGCTGTGAGAATAAGCTGAAATCAAAGGAAAAAGCTGAAGCTGCTATTTGTAGCTTTGGAAAACTGGCTTTTTTTCAAAGCACATGGAGCTACAGTGCTCCTTTAATGAAAGGACCCACTATCAGACTACTTTTTTTTCCAAAAGCTTTTTTACAAAAAAGTTTACCAAACGCTCTGCTGATTTATTTCACAGCCGCTTATTCTCACAGCACAGCCGCTTATTCTCACAGCAGCTTTTTTTCAAAGCACAGCAATACCAAACCAGCCGTGTGGTGGGAAATAGAGAGAACTTGCAATGTGGGCATCACTTTATTGTTATTGGGAAACCTTCACGTGTTTGCTAAATTGTATACCACTAGATTATTATACCTCCTTTGGATGTCCCAATTTCTCTTCAAAACAATGGAGATTGGCTTTGATTTCTTGTCATTAATTTGTAGACATAGAATATGTAAATATATCTTGTTTGTCATCTCAAGGGAAGTGGAGGATCTTCTTTCTTTCACGCCGAAAACATATCATGTTCTATCAGTTAATGGTTCAAGGAAACCTAAAATTCAAAGAAAACTCACATTCCATGCAAGTCCACTATGCCATTTGCCAAAGGTCGTGTGGAGAAAAACGGATGGTTGCGTGTGTCAAACAAGGTAGTCTCTCGTACGGTACATCAGTTGGGATTGAGCGTTAAAATGTTCGCTTAGATCGTCAAGTACTTTGACACTAATAGGCATGCAAGGACGGTTACATGGCGCCGAGAGTTTGGTGGCATGGTGCCTTGTTTTTGCACTGCTCATGCTTGTAGCTCAAGATGTTTGAATTGAAGAACATGATCTGCAGTGCTTGATTTCGGAACTTGTCCGGCAAGAAATAGTTTGGTGGCCACGAGTTTCATGTTTGCTACTCGGGTAAGCCCTAGTATTGATACTGCTACCGCTACAGCTGCTGCCGATTCCTTTTTCTTTACATTTACATTTTGGTCTGCCAAATTTAACCGTTGTTTATGTAATGATGGAACAACTGTCTTGTTTCTGTGAAAGTAGCTCAATTCCATAAAGCTGGTTAAACCTCATACTGTTCACAAAATTCCGTCCAGGCCGAAGCCTATCGGAAATCTGAAACTGCCATCCGCGCGTGAGGTTGGTGGAGCACGCACACGAATTAGCAAGCTGCAGAAGATGCATTTGTTGGATTAGATCGGTAAGTTTGATGAATTTTCCGGATTTTCGAGTTTGATGTTCATGTTTCCTAATTTGCTGCTGAGTCTGTTTTCAGAGCAGCTATGAAGAAGCAACCATGATGGAGTTCCCTGGTGTATTATCTTCGAAATCAAATCCAACCTGCTCGTAAAACCTAATCGAAAATCCGAGCGAAAACAATAAAGTTTCATGGAGAAGAAATTAGGCTACATAAGTTATTTCCTTTATACAAAGAACCTTCAATCCAAAGCATAACATGGGAATGCAAACTTCATAATAATGTCGAACTCCCGAAACCGCTATGCACTGAGATTTTTAGTGCAAAGCTAGAACAAGCAAAAGGCATATGGCCAAATAAAGCAGAAGATACAGAACAGTTTTACCATACCATCTATAAATCAACATATCAATCTGATAAATTGTATGAAAAGAAAAAGGAGAGGGGGAAGGCTGCTATATTTTTGCCCTTTTTTTTCTTAGGGTGGGGGTTTAAATACCTAAAGGGGTGAAGAAAAAAAAAAATCAGATTTCATTCAATAGATTTCCTCGGTGGAATCAAGTTAAAATAAACAATGAAACAGTAAAAAATGTTTCTTGCATCTGTCATCTGAATGCCTGCATCAGGTCAAAAGATGCTCTCTTTCGTTCCAGGGAGAGGGGCGAAGGCACACACGGACCTCGTGTTCTTCTGGTCCCACTCGACGTTTGGGCACCATAATCTCAAGCATTGTACCTGTCTCATCGCAGTACGCTTCCAGTTTAGCATCTTCTGGAATGCGGGTAGGAAGCTCGATTTCCCTCACAAATTCCCCACAAGGGCAGTGCTCCGGTGTTGGATCTGTTAGCTGAAATGTTCTATCACGTCTCTTAATGGATGGCAAACAAGCTGTACTCACGCAAGATATCTTTACAATCCCACGTGAAGGAGTATTCCTCCAAGTAACTTTTACCCTCTGAAGATCTACAAATGGCAAGCTGACAATGATCAAAAACCCTTCCTCATCCTCATAAATTGTTTTTGCAGCTGTAACAGGGCCGGATGCTTTCTTCATCACCCCACTGAACTCATTAAACCAATGTGACTCAACTGGGTGGACTGTGCCAGCTCTGTCGAAATGTGGGTTATTAGGTAAACAGTCATTGTCATTCCCATGGGAGAAAAGGTCCTTCTTCCGCTTGTTGCAGACCGGCGACATGTCCATTCCCTCGTTGTTGACATGCTCTGATGGCTGAGTTGACAAATTCAAACCCGTACCATCAAGCAATTTTCTTGGTTGTGAATTTCCATTGTTCTTTGGAGGGGCAGGCCTTTCAAGCTCCAAATCTGTGTTCTGAAGGTTCCTCCAGGTACCAAAGTCACTTGCTTCAGGTGGGATTGAGAAATTTATATCTCGGCCTGTAAGCTCTGCCCACCTCTTCCTCTCTTCGTCATCAAGACACATGAGGTTGGGTGACCGAACAACTTCTATCCCATGAACACACTGCGGGTTAGAAAGACCCCTGTAGTGCTTCCTCTGCATACGATGAGACCGAACAAAACCCCTGTCCACACTAAATGGGAATGGGCGTTCTCCTTGGCGAGAATGCCCATTCATGAAGCTCCTCAGCTGCATCTTCCCTAATGCATTTTCAGGCCTATCCTTGAAAACCCACATATACATGTTCTCCATATCATGCTGAACCAAGAAAGCATCTAACTGCAAGTCTGTCTTGTCGTACCCAGAGATCCCATTACTGTCCCGAATGACCTTACACTTGGACTTCTCATTCAAGACAGGCTTGAAGTAGAAGCTGAAGAAAAACCATGCACCCCAAACGCTATCAAGCCTCTTGTTGCATTTCCTTGCAACTTTGGGTAGAGTGATTGTCGCCTCGGCCTCATAAACTTGAGATCCAAGGCCTACATCTAAGATGTCACATGAATCATTCCAAGTTTGGGGAGGTGGGCTAGGCTCAGACAGTAGCGGGAGATTGATATCAGGAGGACGAGAAAGTATGAAAGTTCGATTCATCTCTCTTTCCAATTCATCATGCGACACAGAACCCGAATCCATAGACAATAATGTAGACAAATGAGAATTCTCTATGGACAGGGTAGTGAGAAGAGCTTCCCCCATGATCTCCCACAACCTTTCCCTTCTCTCCTGCTTCCGGGTTTCAATCTCTAAACCCGCTTTTCAAATAGAATTACCTCACAAACATCTCAGCATATAGAAATGCGCCAACAAGAATTCCACAACTTAAACTAATCCTTAAGACTCACCCCCACAAACAGATCTTCCAAATTTTTGCAGGCCCATCAATCAATCCATGTCACATTGAACTACAATTATTGTTCTCAAAACAAAAACAACCTGAAATCCATATCATAACAGTGCAAATCAATCAGGACTACTACTCATAAAATTAATACCATTATATGCAATAATTAACTTCAGAACAGCTTATCCCTTGTTTGGTTTCTGAGAAAACTGAGAGGAAAATAAAATTAAACATGATTTAAGCCTAAAATTTCTCTTATCCCTGCTCAATAAATTCCATTACTTTCACAAAACCACACATTTCAGCTGCATCAGAGCTCAAAATCCCCAATATCCAAATCAATAATTTTCCAAGATCCAATTTTTAGT